TACATACCACACCACAGCCCACGCCATACCATACCACACCAGACCAGAGCATACCAGACCAGACCAGACCATACCATACCATACCATACGTATTATATATATATATGTACGCATACAAACAAACAAGCAAGCAAACAAACAAGCAAGCAAACAAACAAACAAACAAACATGCGTACATACATACATGCATGCATGCAGACATACATACATACATACATGTTACGCTAGTCTCCTCGAGCGCAGCCTTGCAAATTCCCGTTGCGCGCTCAGCTACTTCTCCGGGAGCGGGGCGCGCTTGAAGGTCGAGACCGGCCCGGAGCTAAAGCGGACGGGGACCTCCTTAAGAGTGACTGGTGGACATAAATCCCAAAAGTCCAGAGGGTTCAGACTTGAGATTCATAGCCACATGTTTCCCCCTTTTGGGTGGGTTTTTTGAAGGGGAGTTTCCTTTTGGTCGCTGAGTTGGGCAGCTTAAGACGAGCTCAAATGGGGGGACAACGAGCTTGCACATGGTGAAGGTTTCTTTAGTTTGGGATGCCTTATATCTCATATCTGATTCGAGGACTACAGTAAATGCCCATAATCACTTAAGACCTCTAGTGATGATCTTCGAATAGGGAGTTCAGACAATATACTAGATAGTGCTTTTGCTAGTGGTGCGTCCACCACAGCGAATCATTCGGGATTTCAGACCTCGTTTTGAACTGTGCCACGGTGAGCAGCGAAGTTGACCATAGCTTTTCTGTGGAATTGGGTTCAAGTTCTTGCAACCGGGAGGCATCCACGGCCATTGTCCAAGTCGCTGTGAAGGACGGTTTGGAGGTTCGTGGGACACCTGCGATCTTGTAATTCACCGAAAGCTGCACGAATTTTGCGGCTGGATGTGGTTGGTTCGCGTGGAACTCCGCCCTGGTTGGTGCTTCGGCTCCATCTCAAGAGGTTTGGCCTCTCCGGTTCGTCGAATTTTCACATGCGATCAATAGCAATGGTTTTGAAACCGGAAAAGGCATTTTGTTCCACAGCATCCTTGGGTCAAAGGCCAATGTTTCAGGGGCGGTGGCCGGTTCTTGAGCTCAAATGCCAATGGGTTTGGGGAGGTGTTCGAGGGTGGGGAGGTTCCAGACATATGTTGTGTTCTGTCTTTTCCGACCCTGATTTGACACCGAGTGGGGCAAATCACAAAGAGAGCAAACACATGATGAAGATTCTCTACGTGGGAATTCTGTATTTCAAGTTTGAGAATCACACTGTGGATGGACGAAGTCCATTTCGCACCACCTTGAAACCATGAAAGAACTATTGTGTGTTGGTACTTACAGGGGAATCAAACCTGCAACTTCGGGTTTCTGAGGTGGTCCGTTTTTTGGATTTCGCCACCGTAAGTTGGGACCTCTTCAGCCTCGGGTCTCGACGCGTGAGGCCATCAGCGAGCAGCGGAGCGCGGAGTGGGCTTTGTGAAGGCGGGGCATCAACAAAAGACACGGATGCTGGCTCAAAATGCCTCGGGCTTTCCTAACACCACCCCAAGGGTACCATAATTAAGAAAAAAGGACACTACCCATGCTGGGTGCTGGGAGGAAAACCCGCTTCTGCTGGCGTCTTTTGCAGGCGTTTCCTGTGGCCAAAGGGCAACTCCGGCGGAACCTGCGGTGCTCTAGGAAGTTTTAGCTAGCCAAAGAAAAGGTACCGTGGATGCCCCCGAGAAGGAAACACACAGACAGCGAGTTGTGTAGCGAGGGGAGTCCCGTTTTTGGTCTTTCTTTCCAACTGCCTGAAGGTTTTTTGTGGTTGGATGTGTGACTTCTGCATCACTTACATGCAGAGCATCCGTCGCCTCAACCACCCGCCTCGCACCTGCGGCAATTCCCGCGGCAGGCGGCCGGCAACTATGCGCTTGGGAGCCAAGTTTGGTTGCCCTATGCGGCTGCTAGGAATGACGTCAATCCCAGGCTGTTGGAGAAGCCTTAAAAAACCTTTTCATTGACCCTGCGCACGGGGGATTGTTCACAGCCACCCCTTAGAAAAAGAAGAACATGTGCCCTTCCTGGCAAGGCATTCGATCCGGGTTGGATCCTGGCAGTGACACTAAGAAACGTTGTCGATTTCTCGGGTCCAGGAAGGTATATTGACCCCTTTGAAGCTCCCAATCCTGGGGAACGGGTCCGACTGCCGATTTGGGTACTTGGCTTTAGGTTCTCGCCAAGCCCTGAAACCCGTGCCGTGTTCCGGTAACTAATCCTGGTCCACTGGGGGGGAAATTGGAGCCATGGTGACAAGGGACTGGATCAGACCTGGGGTCGATCCCTGGGGCTGATCCACTACCTGCAAGCAGGGAACAAGCAGAGCCAGATGAATCGCATTTGGGCTGTGTGAATTCCAGCATTCAGAGAGCGAAATCCAAGTGAGTTCAAGAAAGAGCGACCTTCAGCCAGGGACGGATTCTTGTTTTGTTCTCGAGCCTGGAGACATTGCCCGCTGCATCTCGGCAGATGTCAACATTACTTCAATCTTTAGAACCACCACTCCGATCTGAGAGCAACTGCTAGCCAAGCCTCGAGTGTGGTTTGCCTGCTTTTGGTGTCCATCCTTTCCCTTTTCTCTTTACAACATCCCCTTTTTGGAACCTAACAACAAATGTGTTTTTTTGTGGTCCACAAAGCAGGTGAGACATTAGCAGTTTGTCTTTGTTTATTGGTGAGATTTGGTGAGGATGGTTGAAGATGAGCCTTAGTGGAATTGGGAACTCCCCAAACCACTTCACCAAATGCTAGGTGAGGGGGGAATATGTACAGTAAAGGATGGCCTTGAGACCAAGCTTTTGTGTTGAGGGGGATGATGTTTGAAGAGACATTCAGGGACTGGAAGGTTAGGGCTGGGACAGACGGTTTCTGTAAAATCTGCTTGGCACGTAACATGTTTGGTCCACAAAAAGCCGACAAGTGCGAGTAAATCTGTTCTGGGGGGCAACTGTGAAAAGCGCCGAGGAATTTTGTCACCCTCCCAGGTCTATGATCGAATACCGTGCCAATCAGGGCTTCACATGTTGCCCAGAAAAGATACATGTGCGGGGGATTCCCTTGATTTGTTGTTTGGAGTAGTTAAAAATGGTAAACCACCAGAAAGGTGTCCAATTCTTGGTGGCTCCCAGTTATCCCCTTAGCTTTTTAGCCTTTTAGGGTTTAGTGGCTTGACTTCCATTGGGTTGGATCTTTAGACTTTAACTTTTTCCACTACACCCCCCAAAAAGTTAAACTTTTTGCGGGGGTCAACAGCAACCAAGGTGGTAGTTTCCATTCAACCCCCTAGAAGTTAGCCACTTTTCGCGGGGGGTCCGACAACGGGCAGCCCAGAATTCAGCATTGTCTACCAGGGTCGCTGAAAGTAACCCCCCCCCTCCCCGAAGTGGTCACTCCCAGTTCTGAACTTGACACCCCTGGCATTCGTTGCCGCCGGTTTCGCCACCAGGGATTTGAGAACCGATGTTTGTGCCCAGCTGGACATGGAATCGTGACCCTCAAGCATCTCACCAGCGTGTTGCTCCAATTGATTTCGGGTGAGGGCTGTGCTTACTGGGCACAAGCCGGCGCTTGTGTGGTGCGGTCTGTTCCATTGGAAGAACACCAAATGGGCCAAAACCTTGGAATCCCGTGTGCCTCTGTTGAAACGGAGAAAAAGCAAACCACAAATCCCAAAGACCACCGGTTGATCCTGACACAGCCACAAGGCAACACCAGGGAAGCAGAGGGCAGCAATCCTCAGGCTCGCGAGGCCTCGTGCCGAGGCCTTGCTTTGGGCCGCAGAAGGATGCCAAGGGCCAAGGCCCAGGGACGGAGCCTGGGCAACTGACATGACCTCGCAAGGCTGTCGGGGTTCGAACGGTTTCAACCCCCATGAAGAAAATGGCAACAGTTTGGATGATGAACATCCTTAGGTAAATAATGGTGGTTATATAAACAAAAAGTTATATTAAAAAAAAAAAAAAAACTATTGTGTTCATGGTGGTAAGTGCACTGCAGGGAGTTGGTTTGCGACCGCAAAGCCATGATCAACATTTCCTCTTTGGGGGGTCCATTTCTGGTAAATTTCCGGCTGGTGAACGTTAAACAGTTGGATGGGATCGCGTCCACATGGCAGCAGCCGGTTGAAAGGCGAATCGCCGGTTTGGGTACCCACTTCTCATGGGACCTGACAGAAAAACGGTCCAGACCAGGACCCCCAATGTCAGGTTGTAGGTTAGTTGGTAGGGGGGGCATACTTGAAAGCCAGGATGGACATCAGACCTGTTGATTGAGAGGCTTCGAGAAAGGCACTGATCGGCTCTCCGGCTTGGCCACTATGCAGCTTGGGCGGAATTCAAATATCCTGATTCGTAGACGGATTCGCTACGGATGGACAACATCCGCTTCGTACCGCGAGTAGATGGACAAACCCTATGGCCTGGGAATGTTGAGATAACCACCACATGGTGGATTGGCGGTTTGCAAAAGAAAGAGGAGCAGCCATAGCGGTGCGAAAGTTGGCTGAGCACGGGGATTGTTCTAACTTTCATACTCTTTGTGAATGGTCATTGAGGGGTTCGGCGGAGTCAAAGTACCTTCTCACAAGCCGCAAGGTACTCGGACCCTTACGGTTGTCTCCCGCGCGAATTCTTAACTGCCTCGAGCCGGAACTACCGATTTGCGCATGTCCAAGTCTCAGTAGTGCATGATGCCTGCGACAGAAAAGGAATCAGTCTGAATGTTGGCTGTCCCTATCGATTTGCGGTGATCGATCATTGTTTTGCAAGGATCAAAGTTAGCAGGTCACTTAGGTGCCAAGTACCTAGAACCTCGGTGGTTCCCAGCCATCCGGTCCCTGAGGTGCTTTTAGGTTTCTGGAATTGGTATAGTTTCCACTAAACCACGGAAAGTTATTCACTTTCAGCGATCAGCAAAACGCACAGCCCAGAAACTACATGGATCCCTTTCGCTTCGAACGCTCCCGTCCTAACGCTCCGAGCC